GTCTGGGCCGTGCCCGAGCGCGAGGCGCTGCGGCGCGCCCGCCGCAGCGCCCGGGTGGAGCTGCCCTACCGCTACGTGGTCTACGCCGCCGTCGGCTTCAACGTGCTCTTCCTGGCTCCGCTGGTCTTCCGCTTCCTCCACCTCTCCTGACGCACGACCGCCGGGCGACCTTCCTTCAGATGCGCTTCTGTTCTGCGGCTCCGGGGGGTCCGGGGCTACGGCCTTCCGTTTGCATTTTAGCCGGCGTTTGCCGGAAACGGACGGAAGTGACATTGTCTGTTGTTTGTTTGTTTGGATGGCCGCGGGGGGGACCACCGAGCCGCCTCTTTGCTTTTTCCTATGAAGGAAAAAGAGCCGCCGGTTCCACCCATGAGATGTCACACCTTTCTTGGGGTTCGTCACATAAGCAAATGAGAAGTTTCACATTTCCGTCTCGGTTGGCAACGACCTTGATGGTTGTTTTCCAAAGTCGACTGAGAAGTTGGCAAAATGTCTTCTTTTGAAAGAGCACATTGCTCATCAGTCCGCCTTCATGGACCGCGACAGAAATGGGAGGAGACGGACTGGCACGAGGCTGAAATCGGACGATTTGGACAATTGGAACTTCCACAAGCTCTCGAAACGAAGATCACAAATGTTTGTCGACTCGTTTGATCACTTTTGTGGTTGCAAATTGGATTCATTGTTCACGGTGACGTGAGAGTTGTCTGTCGCATGATCGTGACATCGTTGTTGAAATCCCTGCCAAGCGGAAATAAAAATGTCCTTGGACGTGCCGCAAGGAAGAGTCTGGTTACTAACGTCCTCGTTCTTCCGTCTTCCTGTGCTCGCTGTGCACTTACTCAAGGCTGACAAAGACGCACTTGAAGGCAGGCGGTCGTCATGACACTCCAAATCCCCATCGAGCTGGTTCAGCTCTCGTCCTGGGCGTGCGCGTGCACGCCCAGGACGACGGGGCGCTCCAAAATGGCCCCGCTCGCTGTCGACCCAACATTTCCCTTCTTCTTCAGTTCACCTCAACGTCGTTCGCTCGCTCCTTTGCTGCCCAAGCCCGCGGCGCAACACGCCGCCTCCCAACTTTGCCCACATCCAAATTGTGAGCAGTGTCCCAAGTGCATCAGGTAGGATTGTTTTTAATGTGACACGACACGTTGGTATTCGTCATCCTCTTTCAAAAAAAAAAAAAAAAACCCCAATCGTTTTTGAAAAAAGCGTCCGTTTGGTTCCTTCAATTCCAAGACAGAAAAATCTTTGTTATAACTGCGGTAACAAAATTCCATCGACAGAAATCTCAATGTCATTAAAAACCCGTAAGTTTTGAGACGGAAACGAGACTTGACATGACGACTACATCAAATTCAAAACACAAGACGGCAATCGCAAA